TTAGTAACGGTGTCCAGACTTTGAAAGGAGTAACGGTGTGCAGACCTTGAAATGAGTAACGGTGTCCAGACCTTCAATTGAGTAATGGTGTGGAGACCTTGAAATGAGTAACTGCTGTCTAGAAACTGAAATTCTGTACAAGGTGGCCTAAATATGCCCAAATTGTCCACTGATTGAACCCATTGAGTACCCTTTGTTAAAATTTGATATGCTGTCTTTATACAAATGTTTAAGATGAAAATAAATAGCAATTTTTCTCTTTGTTGGAAGCTTGTTTTCACATCTTGGAAAAAATAAAGCTATGATTTTTTTTCATGTGACAGAGCCTTGTCCAGTGGGATATGAAACTGGATACAATGAACAATGCTACTTCATATTAGAAGGAGGAAGTGAGAATTATACATCCTGGCAAGTAACTAGGGAGATTTGTCGCCAAGGTGATGTCAATTCCGATCTTTTGATGATTAACAATAATGATGAACTTCAGTACATCAAAGGAAGAATTGCATCCTTAACATCTGATGTTTGGTGGATAGGTACGTGCTCATCTGGCGTGTGTTTTGAATACTTCCTTGTCAAAGTTGGTGTTTGTGCTATTTTTTGCTAAATATTTTATCCAGAAGTGCTTCTTTCCAGCAAACTTGTGGTCTTTCAGTGGAGACATCAAACAGTAAAGCTGGATAGTGACTGACACCATATAAATTCCTCTCAAAGTGTGAAGTTAAGGCAGAAATGATAGCATGATGGCTCATCAGTCACATTTTATGTATGTAAAATTTATGTACCCAGGTTGTAAACCATCTATGGAAACATCCACATTCTATATCAACATATGCTTTATTTTTATTGTCATTACGTATATAGAGTGTCCTGAATAAATGATGTTATGATTCTTTACTGGTGTAAAGATTATATCCTACAGGCAGTTCACCACCTTGTCCCTGAGAGTGGATTTTAATGGATTTTGTATACGGTATTATTCCGCAAATTAGGGGTCCATTTATTTCGTGTCCCTGTCACATCTGATGTATGATTTGTAAGTTCAGAACACATTTTTTAATTTCCAAGAGTGATGAATTAATGCAAATTACTTGCCAGATAATTGTAATAGTTTGAAATCAATTCTTGTGATATTTCCATGTCAACTAACAAATAATAGATGTAACAGAGACACAAAAATGTCACACTTTGGGACTCATTATTAATTACCCATATTTAAAGTAAGATTTTTCTTTGTTTAACTGGCTTGTATACCTGTGTAGGTTATTCAGATCTTTCTGATGAAGGAAACTGGAAATGGTTGGACTGTAACAAGTCTACTACTTGGCAAGAGTCACTTTGGGTAACCCAAGGCAGTGAAGATTGTGCTGGATACCAGCGAACAACATCAAAAATAGCAGATTACAATTGCAACTCTCTGCAAGCGTATATCTGTGAAATATCCCCAAAAGGTACATGGAAGCTAGAATCATCCCAGATCTTGACAAAACCCTTTTTATTGTTGGATAAGGGTTTTTTCTTCTTTTTCACAGAACTTGTTTGGAAATGTGTCGTGAAGAATAAATCTATTTCTCGGGCATGTAAACATACATGTATAGATGTGAAGAACTTAATGAGACCTGTTGGTTTTTATCACATTCAAAACTGTAGTGATATCCAAAACATGATGTCGTGAGTAGTTTCTGTAATGATGTCATCCAAGAAGGGAAGTACTTTCTCTTTGTGTGTTTTGTCTTTAGGATTTACAGTGGATGATACCAACGTGCAGAAGGTTGATGCTGTGGCAGTCAACAGAACAGCAATCCACGTTCATTGGGAGGTCTCTCCTTACAACTGTGACATCACTGGATATACAGTCCTCTACCAGCAATACTCTGACACAAATATTAATGGTATAAAAATGCCCTTTTGATATGTGGAAAAAGGGAGAACAGTATTGGTGGAAACAACCTAATTTAAGAGCAATTTTGTCACCATTTGTTATCATAAAAGTTAAAAGTTCTCTCAACAATGGATTAGTGGTTTTTATAATCCTTTAGAGTGAAGAATGTGTATTTCAACCTTTTGTACAGGGCCATTATTGCTTCAGACATGGTATTGTGCATTTCTTGTTGGTGTGTTTTTTTTAAACTTCTGAAATTGGGAGTGCAGTCCAAAGCGCTACATGTAAATGTTTGTATTCTCTTGACAGGATCAATTCATGTCTCTGGGGGCAATGCAAGCAAAGTGGTCTTGACTAACCTTGCCACAGATGTCATGTGGAAAGTGTTTGTGGCAGCTATACATAGCTTAGGTGGAGAGTTAGACTTCATTGGACCTGCACAAGTCTGGCTAGGTGAATGAGCGTTTATAACAATTCTGTACACATCCATTTTAAAGTTTTCAAACATCAGTTTAACTGAACCATTGGGGCTGCTAACTGGTTTTCGTTGGACTTGGAAAGCTGTGCACAAAGTCTGAATTAATCCCTCTTGTGAGGTGGGATAGGGATATGTAAATATGAGTTAGCCAAAATTAACACACGGGCATAGTTGATGGGAACCACTACCCATGCCTTGACTTGTACTTCCAGGTAATGTTTGAATGCTCTGATTCTCCATTTGTTTTGTACATACACAAAATCCACGAATTCTGTGGAGGTGGAGTGTATGTCAAACTTGGCCACTGTGCATGGCTTGTTATGGATCAAATTATTGCTCATTGCCGAGAAGTGTTGAAAATGAGATTCCATTAAAAAAATTAGCTGAATACTATGTCATATTTTAGTATTTGTAGCATTTAGCTGCATATTAGAAGTTTGAATCAATATACCATAAATACCATCGGTTTGTTCATCTGTCTTAATTAGGTTCCTGTCCGGAGTGGCACCTACCAGGCTTTAACGGCACATGTTACTGGTTCTATTACACTCCTAATGGAGAAAACTGGTTTTCCTATGAAAGGTCTTCATGTTTAGACCGAGGAAGTGAATTGCTTATCATCAGCAGTCAGGAAGAACTGGACTACATCTTGAATCAAACGGAATCCTTGGCACCAGGCCAAGAATGGTGGATAGGTAACAGTTCTTAACACCTTTGTTACAAGCTCATACTTTTTGATAAGGTCAACACAGGGATATCAACTATTCGTTTAGTTAGGTCATGGCAAATGGAAGTATTCAAAGGAACTTCATCCATTTGGAAAAAAAAACAGGAAACTCCCTACTCTCCTACAAGTCATGGTCTATTGTTAATTCTCTCACATTTGAAAGACGTGACCCTTTGGCAAGGAATGGCAGATAGAGAGTCTTGATGTGGTTATGACCAGCTATGATACAAAGTCACTGGGAAATGGTTTTTGCTGACTAGCCAGTGGCTTTCATTGTCAAACATGTGCTTCCTAGCCATAGCCAGTTAATGCAGACGCAGCAGTTTGTGGTTTCCTATTCTGATTTTGCCCCTAGTCAGATCAGTACTGGCTATATTACTGTCTCATATCTATGCCTGCAAAAAAGCCCTACATCTTACTTGCTATTATCTTGTTATATGACCGACTTAATATTGTTGCCTGCTCCGTTTTCCCATTTAGGTTACAGTGATGTGACTGTGGAGGGAACATGGCGTTGGATGGATTGCAGTAGTACCGATGACTGGCAGTCAACTCTGTGGGCTCCAGGGGAACCAGCCGAAGTCGAAGATTGTGCCACATTGAAGGGGGATTCGGGCCACATTAATGGTCACCGTTGCGACGAAAAGTTCTTCTTCATTTGTGAGGTCACACCAAAGGGTAAAGCTCATTTATTGGACTCAATAAAACATTTGTATAAAGAAATTGAGATGCAAAATATTGAATGGTGGAGAAAAAGATTTGCGGAAAGGAGATATTCTAAGAAGATTTGATGGGCTTTAACTCAATGTTTCTGTGTTCTTTTCTGCTCTTTAGGAGCTGCACCCATAAGTGCATGCTGCTTAATGATTCCAACAGCAAAGTAGGATCAGGTCAAAGATGGCAAGTGCATTGTTTGTGAAAATTTACTATGTTTTTGACCTGGGTTTGTCTGTTTTGCAGATTTTACAGTGGTTGACACCAACGCTCGGAATGTTAAAGCTGTTGCGACCAATGAAACAACTATTCAAGTGACATGGGAGGTGTCACCATACAACTGTGATATCATTGGATATAGAGTCTACTATCAACACAATCAAGAACCAAATGATGCAGGTAATAACATTCTGTTTGCAAAGAGTAGTTGTATAAGAAGTTGTATATTCAATTGATGAACTGCTCAGGTAGATGATATCTTTTGGGTACAGCTATTTCTCTCTATTTTGGAGAAGTGAAGTTCTGAAAAGAACTGGTTGTGAGAATTATTGAAACCAGATCCTCTTTAAAAGAGAGATACATGGTTGCATCAGAAATCTATCCTGTACCTTAGGCGAGAGTTTTTTAAGTTGGTGCTCAGATCGGCCGACCTTCCGGATTCAGAACTGGAAAAATTTGGTTTTTATTTTGAGAAGTCTCAAACCAAGTCCCCCAACCGACAATTTACTGATATAAGTGTTAAAAAATAGTGTTTTTTACTTCAGTGTCCAACCAACTGTGAAGTCCCTGGTCCCCAGCTGCTAGCAATAGTGTCAAGGGATACCCCTTTTTTTTATTCTTCCTCTGGTTTTTTGGAAAAATAATTTTCTTGTATTCTTCCCTCTGACTTGAAGACCCTTACTTGTTTTTCTTGGGAAAAAAGAAAAACTTTTATTTTGTTTTTTTTTTTCCATTCTCTAAAATTTGTCTATAAAAAATCTGAGCAGCATAAAAATGCTTGCCTCACTAAAGCAGAAAGACATGCCAATATCAGATAGGTGTGTACCTAGCTACAGGACCATCACTGTGCGGACCCATGTAGAAAGACATGCACAGATGGGTGTGTGACTACAGGACCACCACTGT